CCCCCCCCCACCCCAGCCTGTAACCACAGTCTAGGAATGTGATTTCTCCTCTGCCTTTTATACTTCTCTAGGTAGATGGAAAATTCCACCAAGCTCTTAGCACTGTTATACACTTCATATAGGTGCAAATATTTATGCAAGGTACAAGGTGGGGAAAAAAAAACCAGGATGCTGGTTTATCTGGAACAAAGTTCACAGGGAGAATGCTAAATTAGTATTACTGACTAGCATATCCTGTGGTTTGTTAGAAACTTGATGCTGATGATACTTTACCTGCTGAAGAGTTTGAGAAAGGGACTTTGTAGACATGAAACAATTTGGCAGTACTACATGTCCATCTTGAACTGATGTTCTGGTAGGTGCTCCTAAGGATTCTTTTTCTGGCCTCCTTCCTGTGAAACATGACTTCTTCAGTTCATCTGGGATAAGTAATGAAGCACTGAACAGAACACAACCAATTCGATTGAGTTCAACTACGGAATTATACAACCTTTCTCTTGTTCAATTTTCTGTAGCACAAAACTGAATAGCTAATGACGCTAACATGAGTGATAAATCGTATGTTAATGTTCTTTAGCTGAACAGATTAAAAAGATATCTTTTAGGGGACTTGAAGCGTAGTCTTTCAAAAGCCATACAATGACACTTAATCTCTTGAATGAAATCTAAGTTTGGATTAAAGTTCTGTATTAATTTTTTTATATTGTGGTGAAAAAGACTTCCTGGCATAATAAGTTTAGAAACATCTGCAAAGGTAATGTTTCCAAGAACTGCGGAATAACGTGTCCACTAAAACTTGGTGACAGAAAATCTCCATCAGGTTCTCAGTAACATGTGCTAAGCCTGAAGTTGACAGTCCTAAATCTTACATGATGTTGTACGGAAATTGTTTGCTTTGCATATAAGCATTTTGAAATTTGAGTTTGAAAAAACCTTCAAGTAGCCCTAATTGCTTTTGTATTTCAGTAACAACTATAAGAAACAGATGAGAGGTCCAAGATGTTGCTTGTCTGTGTTCTGTTGCAAGCTTTTGGAAAGCCATTGGAACGTAACAGTGTACAAGGTTCACACCCTTTGTTCCCATGCTTTGAAGCAGTCTACCTAAGGATTAATAATAAACTAATGCTCATATCAGAGCTTAGGAGAAAAAATATTTCATTGGTAACAGGTGATGGATTTTCTGATAGATACTTACATATTTTCTAAGTATATAAATATCATTTATTTATATGAGTTTATGCTAACGTTTTAGACAAGAGTTTCAGAATGTCTAATTACAAAAAACTTTCTCATGATTTAACAGAAGTAAAATAGAGGGTACAGCTCCTATTCTAGAGGTCCTGACTTAAATTTTTAGAAGGACCTTAGTGGGATAGCAGTATAGATAAAATCGTGTTTCAGCTAGCTTTAAGATTTAACCTTTGATTTTAAGAAGCAGTCATAAATTGCAGATCTTGTTTCTGGTTCTCCTATGGTCAGCAGGGAATGTCAAAATCTTTATTTTGCATGAGAAGGCTCTGAAAAGTGTCTAGTGATGCAGCTTTTGTGAGGGATGAGGTCTAAAAAGGAGATGATGAAGGAATACAGTGGTGGACCTGAATCATCTTCCTTTCTTATATACTAGCCAAAAGCGTATCATAGCTATGATGTTAACAAAAACACCTCTTCTCCTGTCAATAGTTACATACCATTTATCACATACTAGCTGTTACGGAGGTGTTCCAAAAATGGAGTTGCTGACATTAGTTTGGAAATGGTAGCTGAGTAGAATTCTCATCACCCACTTTCTTTCCAGGGAGGAGTGGGAGTACAGGGCTTCTTATCAGAGATGTAACTCTAGGCTATTCTTTTTTCATCATCAGTTGTTGTTATTGCATATCATATCTAAAACACTAAATCAGAAATGCAGAAATTCGAAGTCTTTAAAATACTGGTGCCTGCTTTCTGTGTGTGTGTTGCTTAACTTGAAATTGAGCAAGCTGCCCAGACTGTAGAGAAGTTGCCTTAGGTGGAACTGAGCAAATTGCCCAACCCTATGCAAAGAATGAAAGTTGCCGAGGAGACAAGGAAAAAGAAAAAAAAAAAGCAGTTGCTGGCAGGTCATGCTAAAGGAGGGAACAGCTGAACCTAAACAAATAGCCTGGAGAAAGAACAAACCTGAAAAAAAAAAATTTTGCCTCCAGTCAGACAACTGCTGTGCAACCTGTTCCCAAATAAGCTTTAGCAAGTAACAAAAGCATTGTACATGTGCTGGTGAAGGCTTTTAAAACAATTGAATCTGAAAATGACACTAAGTCCGAGTTTAACATTGTAGAAAATCACACCTTTACTGAGTAAACATTAAAATTCAATTCAGTCTTATTTCATGTATTTATTAACTTCATCTGAAGAGGCTCTGAAAAACCAAGATCTTCTGTAGGGCATTCTTTCAGTGTTAAAGGAATTGCTATTCTAGATAGGTTTAACCTGCTCCCATCATGGACTATTCTAAAGATCTAGATGTCTAGTGTCTTGGGTGGTCTAATATCTTGGTAATGTTGGCACTATGATGCTAAACTTAATACTGGCTTTGGAATTTCTTTTTCAAATTGCAGATTTAAAAAGTCTGCACTAACTTTCTGCCTGCTTTGTGTCCCAACTCCCTCCCAAACTTCTTTAGAAATAGGCTTTTTAATTTTTAACTCCACGTGCTAGAAGCCTGGAAATTACTTTAGTGAACCCCAAAATGAACAAACTGTTTAGATTCAGGCAGTCCTGTAAAGGAAGAAGAATGATCAGGTGTAAAGTCTCTCTGATAACTTTCCAGATGCAGAGAAACCGAGTACATTTTCCATCTTTAGATGGAAAAAGACAACAGAAGTAGACATAAGCAAAAGAGAAGAAAAGATACTACAGCAGAGGTCTGCAGTGTCATGAATGATGTAGAGGTCATCAGTGAAGGCTGTGTCCAGGTTATTTCTAGCCATAAAGGAATTAAGGGAAATACAGTGGAACTGTGAATCAAATGATTTTTCTTTTTAATTGCCATTTACTGAATCAGATAACCAAAGAATGTTAGAGACTAAAAATATAAATGGGTAGAAGGCAGAGTTAGACAAATTTTTGAAGAGTGGGCTTATTTGTTGATTCTTGAATATTAAGATGCAATTTACGGCTCACAAAGTCCCTAAACTGCTGATTGCTATGTGCTTGCAATGTAACTTGTTTTGTGTGATCTTTTTTTTGAACACAGCTTCTGGCAATGGAGTAGTTCAGTGTAATGAGGTCTGTTCCTATGAGGAATCATTGACATGCTAATTTGTGTTTCTTCTTTCTTTTTTTTTCTTCAGTCTCCCACAGTCAAATCACCCGCTTGTACAGTCGCTTCACCAGCCTAGACAAAGGAGAAAATGGCACTCTTAGGTGGGTATCGTCACTAATTCAGCTGTCCTTGCATTGACACATATCTGTAATGTGGTGTCTTGCTGTTGCAGGATGCCTGCATGTTTTCCTCATATGGTGAATCAGTGAGGGTACTATAACAGTTTCTTTCATACCTACTGTCTACATGGACATTCAAGTTTGTTCTCTCTTATCAAAGGTCAGGAGAAATCCAATTGTTGAACTGAGGTGCTCTGAATACCAGTTGTCTTTACTCTGTAGTGCTGAAGGTTTGTAGCAGTTAATACAAGAAAGGTCAGATTTGGTATTCAAGGTCTTACAACAAATGTTCAGAAATGTTAAATCACGTTTTTAGATTGTTATTTCTTACCTTTCTTTATATGTGGCTTCTAATAATTGTTACAGGAATGGTTCCACTATGTCTTCTTCATCCTGGCTTTCATAACAGAAAGATCACTTACATTTTTGGAAGCATGGGCTCTTAACTGTTTCTGATACCCAGTGTCTTTTAACACTGCTTTGATCTGCAAGCCCTTTACTATTCTTAACTTTGCACCTCTTGTTGAACACCCATGTCTATTAGTATGCTCAGAAATAAAAAGGAGCTGGAACCGAGTCACTGTGACTAAACAAATAACATTTTATTCTTTATAGTAGTAGTGCAGGATATTCCAAGACCTTTAAGTGTTTGTCTTCTGTCTACAATTTGAAAACTACAGAATTGAACCAGTTTCTTAAAACTTAAATCAATTAAATAAAGATGAGGCTTAAACTTCATCTGCAAAACATTTTTTGCTTTGATGGACTGAGTCTGCTGGAAAGAGTATTCTCAACTGAAAGGTAAACTGTAGTGGGATGATTGCCTGTTAAAATACGTCTCTGCCTGCTGTCTTTGTTCTGTAGCCTTCCTCACTCTGGTTATTATATTGCACATTGCTATTGGTTTACTCTTTATTTACTGAACTAATTATGAATTCTGATTGTATTAAATTGCTTATTATTCTTCTCTTTTGATGTTGCCTACAGATTACATTAATATTATGGAAACATATGACAAATAGGAGCTGTCCATGATTGCACCAGGGGTGCAATTTTGCAACCAACATAGTTTACTGCAACTGAAAGTCTGTTGCTTTTCTGTGTTGATGCTGGTACTCAATGCTCATCTTTGGAAACTAACCCTCAGCTTTGAAAACTTGCCAAGCAAAACAACAAAAAAGGCATCTGATCAGTTTTCAGGTGGATTTTGTTTCCCATTCACCATATAGCTGCATATGCCAGAACCAGTGCACAGGGAAGCTGGAGAGAATGCAGGAGAGAGTAAGAAGGGGAAAGGGACCTTGTTGTAGCATAGTATACAGGGTCTGGCTGGGATGGAGTTAATCTTTTTCATGGCAACTCTATCCCAGTCAAACCCAGTAAACATAGATTCAGGGATCACCTGGGGTTTTGTATACGATCTTGCAAAATGTGATTGTAGCATGCACTATAAACCTATAAAAGCTAGACCTACTTATAAACCAACCTTACTGTAAAGCTAGAATCACTGCTTAGAAGACGAAGGTGACAAGTTGTAAGATAGGCTGTCTTTGACAGTACTGCCAGCTTACTGCAGTTTCCTTTTCTGAGGAAAATGTGCAGTTCCTTCTGGTGCCACAAATTGCTGACTTCTCAGTTAACATTTAAGTAATTGGTTGTGGAGCTGTACTGTAAACAGGACTACTGAGTGATTATTTCTGGTTAAAAATACTCTCCCTCACGTTTTGGTTTGTGTAGATATTCTTAAGCTAACTGACTCCAGTGAATTGGACTGTGGCTATACTGTGAATATCTGGACTTGCGTAGCTGAAGGGATGGCAAAGTGGATTGTGGGTGTGGAAACAATTGGCTTGGGATGGGCAGGAACTTTTTAAGCCCACTCTGTCACCGAAGCCAATGTATCATATAAATTGTAGCATTGGCTAATTGGCAATTGTGACATACAGATCAGCTGATGATATTGTAGGTAAGGTTAATACTACTTATGTCTCAAAATTAAGTTACTTGAAAGAAAAACACTAACAGCCTCTTTAAACTTTGCATGTGGGTTTAGTCTTCACTGGTGAATAAAGGTGATGGCTGCCAGACTAGCACAATTTGAACGTAGCACACACTCTTCCTCAACTCCTCCCTCCAACTTTAAATTCACCTGTTGAGTCCATAAAGTTTGTATAAACTTCAAAGTGATTGTACTCAGTTTATGTAAGAGGAATAATTAATTAAATATGCTATGAATGTCTGTTGCACAGTGCTTAGTTTCATAGTGTTACCTATCAGGAGGAGTTTGACTTTCGTTGTTGATAATCATGTGGTACTTGGGAAAGGAAGTGAAGTTCATTTGGAAAATCCCAGCAACTGTGCAAACTGTGATCCATTAACTTGCAGTCTTGGCCTGTTCTCACCCTAAATCCAAAACACAGCACTGTACCAGCTACTAGGAAGGAAATTAACTCTATCCTGCCGAAACCAGGACAGCCTCTAAGCATAGCCTGCTCCCAAACATGGCTGACAAAGTGGCATTCAAATTTTGAAACCTGTCCTGGCACCCACAATATGTGGAAACCATTAAGTTTAAGTAATGGAAAACTACTTCCTGAAAAAAAGAATGAGGGGAGAGTAAGAACTACAGCTCGGAAGGTCATAAATGTTGGTTTCTGAAATACTGGTCAAAGAGAACTTGCTACTTTGAGACAAGCGAGATTAAGTTATCACTTGCTTACTACCGCCAAGCAATTTAGAAGGCATGTCTTCTGTTTGTTTCCTGTGAGCAAGAATGATTGTTTCCATAAGGATGAGCTATACCTTTGACCTACAAATCAGACATGACAGAAATCACTCGTGACTATGGTCAGGAAAAGAAGCGTTAGGCAGTTCTTTATGACATGAAATAAATCTTTAAATGTGTACCACCCTTCTGAAGAAGGGGAAAAGCTGTGTTGTCCTTCTTATCTATGTATTAAAAATGGGCAAGGTAAAGAGCATTTTGTACAGAAGATCTGGTAGATGATGATTAATCCTGGTGGTTAGAGAAGACAGGTAGTTCATTCTGGAACTATAATCAAAAGCTGAAATCTTTCCTAGTCAGATGTTTCTATCCAGCCTATGTGCAGTTTCAAGGCACTTTCTTTTTAGAGTTACGTAAATAAGATGTAAGAGAAAGGTATTGATGAAGCCAAAACTTCATATGCCTTGTTTTGGCTCCTCCCCCCCCCCCCCCCCCCCCCCATCCTCTAAATGACTACAGTCATGGTTACTGATTAACTCTTAAATTCTTTTTTCCTTAGTTTCACTTTTCCTAAACAAAATGAGGAAGCTCCCTCAGACCTGCACCACCTGAATGAAACCAGGTTGTAAAAGTCAGGACAAAACTGTTCCTTTGAAAATTCTTTTGTCATCTTTGATTTCAATATTGTGACGTGCTGAGTTGCCAAAATAAAAGGTTGATACCCTTGGATGTCCATAGCTACATCTAAATTGTGAAACCTGAAGCATACTTGTTCTGCCTATATCCTAACTATAGGTCAGGAGGAAACCAGTGTGCATGTTTTCTTCTTTACATTCCAATTTCCAAGATGAGGAAATTGAAGCACATGATCAGGATAAGTATGTGCTTGCTTCACTGAGTCTCCTTGTTGGGCTGGCACTGAAGTGTACCCACACAAGAATACACCTGCTCCAAAATTTATCTACTAGTAAGTAGCTCTAGACAGACATGTATAGAGCCATAAAAAAGGAGATACTTGTCTAAACTGCTATTTTTGCATTTAACTTTTGCATGGAGCCTCCCACTTACGGTATTTTCTTCTGCACTGGGGAAATGACAGGTTAAGCACCTCAGAAGTATTTTTCACTGTACAACAATTGGTATAGCCTGGTGAGTGTGGCAGAAGGAAGGGGACGGCAAGTATTCCGAAAGCTGATACATGAGGAGAATAGACACACTGAGCTGTTTATGCATATCTCATGCTTATGAAAGCTGTTCACAAGGTGGTGTCTCCTGGAGTACTTCAGAAAGCCTCTGATCCTGAGAGAAGGATAATGAGAGCTAGCCAGGCCATCTGTTAAATCTTTGTCAGTGAATTGAATCATCTCAGTCTGGAAAGATTTCAAAGTAAAACATAAAAGCTAGCTTTCTGAACATGGAATTCTTTACCTTTGCTTAAGAAAATGCAAAGGATTTTTAGCTTTATCAAAACCAGGCAAGACAGGCAGGATATGGGTTTGGATCAGAGAATGATAGGGTAGTAGAATAGTCTATACTTCCATCCTCGACCATGCTTTATTCACACTGCCTCCCCCCCCGCCCCGTTGTTCATCTAATTATTACCTTTACTTTTAGCATACTTCTTGGCCTAATGTTTATAAACCGATTACTCCTCCTCAGAGAGGAGATGGCTGACACGGCTGTGGAAGGGGGGGATATCCTTCCTTTCCCTATCATTTCTCCAGGCTCCCAGCACCTCTATGTCAGCCGTGGTGCTGTTAGATTTTTTTTAGAAGTTTTTTGAACTGCTTCAAGTTGCTAACTCAACAGAACCATAATTGGGAGGATGGAGAGGAGGAAGGTGGGGAGCTTTTTGGGGGGTTAGTGGGATACATTGGACCACCAAAAGGTCTGATGAGTGACAAAGCTAACATTTGCAAGGGAAGGGAGCAATGAAACCTCTTCAGTAGTAACCTGTTAAATCTGTTTGACCATCTTGCATGGTGGACCTTACTTCTTTTAATTATTTGCCTTTTTCAAGTAATTTCTTGTTGCCTATATCCTCTGGACATTTTTCCTCTACCGCTTCTGTTTCACATATGGTTTGTTTTCTCTCCATTGTTTTACTTTCCCTCAGCTCTAGATAGCCCTACCCTCCTCATTCCTGTTGAGGGAACAGTACTCTCTGATACTATCTAGAAGTAAAAGAAGGATGAACAACCAGAAATAATGGAAGGCAAAAAGGGTCTAGTAGGTTTCTTGCAGCCTTTAGGGTAAGGTAGAGCCACCTTTACGGTAGGGATCTGCTATGTGCCTTGAAGGGTATACTCATGCTTAGAAGTACCTGTCTTACTTAGAATCTACAAATTCCTTGCTGCAAAGTATGTCTAAGTGTGAATGCACTGGCATATATGTTAAATGGTTGGCCTGCACATTACGTTTAAGCAAGGATTTAATAGAAGCCAGGTTCCTGGAAAGGTATGTTAGCTGAGCCTTGTTGCTATGGCACATGAACACAGTAGTAGAGGGCATGAAATTTCCTGTAAGCTCCAGCCTCAGCCAGGTGAAGCTGATCCCTAATGACTGCAGGAAGCCTTAGTTTATAAAGTGGAGAATAACTTACATCATGCATTCATTTACTTTTATGGCTGTTAAAGCTATTTCAATTATAACACTCAATCAGTAATGTGCTCTTAATAAGCAAAAATGGTCTACAGCAATCCTGATAATGACAGGACAAATAGATTTGAAACCTGGGGAGTTATTTGTGGTTAATTGTTAATCTCCTGTTAGAAAGCGGAACAACTGGAGGCTGAAATGCTGAGTGTAAATTGAGGCTCAATACTAAGAAAGTGATATGCAAATAAAAAATTTTGAAGCATTAGGATTTTGCTCTAAATGGAAGAGAGGGCAGTTGCTGCTTTTAGCTTGTAAATGTTAGCATTGATACTGACATCCTGTTGTTAAAATTTTGTTACTAGCACATAGGTTTTCCACATCACTGCATCTCCTGCCTAAACCACTAATGCATACTTCGCCCTTCAGCTGTAGCTTAAAAGGCAGCAGTCCTGAAGGGTCTGGTAACAAGTTGATCATGTTATACGGATGTTAACTTTGCCTATTAAAAATAATTCCGACCTGGTCAGTGCAGAAGTTTGGTGGGATAGCTTAAAAATATGGTCAGGTCGCTCTATTAGAAGGTCAAACAGTTTAACCATGTTGTGACAGATATATTATAATTGGGGACTCTTAACAGTGCTGTGGTGTGACTGGGTGCAAGAAATGCTTTAGAATGCATTTAAAACTAGAATGTCTTGCTTCTGTGCCTTTCCCAGGCTAGACTAGTAATAAGGTTAGCCGATTCCTTTTTTCCCCTGTCTTTAAGGTCATGGTATTATAAAAGTGTACTCAAAATCTGTTTGTGTTTACTTTGCCATTTTTTTGGCGTAATGACATCATGAATCAAACCTTGTTGCTGATTCATTTAGTGAGCATAGGTTTCAAAAGTAGCAAACATTTAGTAATCAAGTTTGAGACTTAGACCCAAACTTCAAAAACAGCAGGACTGCATTTGACTTGAAGGGAATTTCCAATATTTCTGGAGACTGGGCAGGAAATGTCAAGTTATGCATCCAGACAGAATAGATTTTTTTTTACAGCCTTTCCTTATTGCTGTTACCGTTGCAATTTAAAACCTAAATGATTATGGAGTACATCTTGTACTAACTGATAAATTGCTGTGCTCTGTTCTAGTGGGGAAAAAAAACCCAAATCCCAAAAAACCCCAGAACAAAGTTGTTGATGAAAGTAATCACTAAGACACACTTGGTGTGTCTGCCTTGATCACACCAAGATTATCCCACTTTCCTGTCAGTGACATTCTATTAGGTTGAAAGAAAAGAAAAATTATTAGTACAACTCTAATAATAGAATGAACCCTATGTTCATGTCATACTGATCTAAAACATGTTTACATCAGTACAGCTCGTGACGTCTTCCAGATCAGAAAAAGCTATAACAATGTTGGCATAGCTATGCTTAAATTTTACTGTGGACATATAATCATGAGCAGAAAGGAGAATGGCTGGGAAGAGCAATGAGTATTTGCAGTGTACTGGTGAAGTTACATCTGGTATACAGGCCCCTGCCAAAGTCTAAATTTACTACTTTAAAATAGGGGCGCTGCTTGGTTGAAGCTAAAATAATCTGAAATTTGGCATTTATAATAAGATGCAAAGTTGTTGCATTAAACAAAAAAAAAATCTATTAGAATATGCAGATCACCTGTGGTATGTTTGGAGGGGTATGGTATTGTCCCAGAATCTGGAACGGGCTAGTCTGGAAAAATCATGCCAACTCAAATGATTCAGTACCAAAATAATTATTAAAAAGAAAAAGTTCATTTTCATTTTGAAGCCATATTTTCCTTTAAAGCCATTTCAGAAGCTTTCCTTTCCTTAAATTGCAAACTAGTTGGCATCATTACAGGAAGATTTCTAGCACAAACAATGTTGGCATCTGAGAAGTCCTGTTAACATGATAAATGGACACTGCTAGTTTGTAATGTAATACAGGCTTGGCATTGTCTTTTGCTTTGCTTTGTGCCATTAGTCATAGAGAAAACATGATTTAAAGAGTTACATTTTTAAAAACCACCAAGTGTCTTGCTGCAGAAATAGAACCCAATGGATGTTTTACTGTGAATTCTTTTTAAGCAACTTTTTCTCCTCTGACTTCAACTTTATGCAGACTTCTTGTGTTCTTGCTATACTTAGCCGTGAAGACTTCCAGCGGATTCCAGAGCTTGCCATCAATCCACTGGGAGACAGAATTATCAATGCCTTCTTTCCAGAAGGGTGAGTTCCAAAGGACTGAATTTGTGAGCAGGCACAAAATTTGTAGTTTTTAATTAAAGTACAGAATTTGAATTTACTAAAATTGAACAGTTCAAATTTGTCATGAAGTGTGTGCAGGTACATTGTTTCCTCAGCATGTTTTCATTCTGTAATGAGAAATACTTCACAACCTTACGATAGTTTCGTGTGCTTTATTCATTGACAAACTCAGGCATCATGTCACAGTTTTCCACTCTTCTTGCTATGCTGAACACTTCTAAAGAAAGTCAAGGGCGTGTATGGACTTTGGTTCTTAAAGCAAACTTGTAGCAATACTGTTTTATGCTAAGTAGTATTGCAATTAACTAATTCAGTCTTGTTTTTCACCTTTTAGCCGCTAAGTGTACCCTTCTTATTAGATCAGCTTTTTTTGTTTGTTTGTTTTTAGTTTTTGGTCACATTTAAGACATAGCTTATGGCACTTCTAACATAAATCCAAAGAGATGATCAAATTGGCAGTAGTGTCTCTCTTCATTATCTCTCTCTAGATTGTTCTATGGAATCTGCTGCTGTTCTTGAACACATTTGTCATTACTGATTGATGAAGATCGGATTGTCTAATCAAGTCATAGTATCAGCTAATACCAGGCAGGGTTTCCTGAATAGAAAGCAGAAGTCCTGGAAAGTACTTACATAGCTGGTTCCCACAGAAACTCTAGAGAAGAGAGCTAGTTGTCAGGGAGCAATGAGCGATGGCTGCCTCACAAGCAGAAGGCAAGTGTGACAGCAAAGCTGGCAGGGGCGATGTACTTGTTGACAAAGGGCACAGCACCTGAGCAAGAAAAGCAGAGCAGGTCCAGTGACTGTTGTCACGTCAGCCAACAGTCCAATGGTTGCCAGACAAGTTGACAGTGGTGAAGCAAGTCTCAGGTCAATCCAGGGAATCAGGGCCCAGATCAGCAAGATACGTTGCCAGACGCAGGCATAGCTGCAGGATAGCTCAGGCAAGGGCAAAGGGTGAGCGCTTGAGCTTAAATAGAGCTTGCAGGCAAGGGGAGGAGAGCCCTCAACAAGACTTCTTGCAGCTTCTTTTTTTACACATCATACTTCACAACAGCGTGATCCCAGGTTGCAACTGCACTGTATCAGAGCTGGGTTTGAGCATAGGCAGCCAAATCCTGGGGAGGAGGTGGGAGTGGAAGAGTCTGCATGGTGTTAATGCTTTAGACATTCATACTCTTCTTTACTGAAATAAAGAACTTGTATAAGCTATGCTAAAACTGACCTGCTGAAATGCTTGCGCAGAGAGGACCAGGTGAATTTCCGTGGATTCATGAGGACACTAGCCCACTTCCGACCCATAGAAGATAACGAAAAAAGCAAAGACCAGAATGGACCAGAACCACTGAACAGCCGAAGTAACAAGCTCCACTGTAAGAAGTGTGAATGTTCCTATAGAAGCAATTATTCTTCTTTTTTTGTTTTTTCTAGGAAGGGAGTGAAGGGCCTTGGGGTCTTCTGTACAGTTGTTCCCTGTGGAACGGTATCAACTAATATCTGATTTTTTTTTTTTTTAAATTAACTTGCAAGCTTACCTGTTCAGAATGTCAACAATTGACCCATTCTAGTATTGGAATTTGGTGGAATTGGTTGAGTCTTGAGTAACGTATATGGTTTTCCAAACATCTCATAACAGAAGTGTTTCAAAATGGTTTGCATCCAAAATTATTTCAGATTTAGAAGCCACATCCCGTACATAAATGGGCTTTTCTGCTTCTTTATCCAGTCTTCCATATAACATAGTGCTTTTTTCTCACCTTTAGCTGAGTACTTTCTTAAGTATTTGGACGTCTGCCCACAGTATGAGCAGAATGCTCTTGCTCACTAATCAAAGTTGGCAACGGTCCTCAGAGCACCTAAAACTTCTGTCATATCTGATCCAGAATATAGTCAAAGAGAATGATTGGTAATGTAAAAATGGTTGGCTCTGAAGTTAAAGGATTGAATGTATCTTAGTGGTAATTATACTTCCATGACTCGGGGCTTTGAAAAAATACCTCTGCAAGCAGAGTGCTTCTGAAAGTACTCATATTGAGTATTTAAGTAAGATTTTTCACTTCTTGGCAATAATGTTATTCCTGTATGCGGTAATAACACTTTATGGAACTGAACATGAATTTTATGGTGAATTAAAATTCTAAGCTAATTCTCAAAATGATTTATGAATACCTACTATTATTTTTCTTAGATAAATGTATTGTTATGAAGAAAAATAATGGCACTTGAATTAAGCTGCTCATTCTTTTCTTCCCTGTAGTTGCTTTTCGGTTATATGATCTAGATAAAGATGACAAGATTTCCAGGGATGAGCTTCTTCAGGTAAATAGCACAGGGCTGCTTTGAATGACTCCATCGTGACCTTCTCTGTGACTTCACGCCCATTTAGAATGAAGAGGGGAGTTACAACAGTCTTCTCAAAAGAACTCCTGAAGGAATTTAGTGGCTAACTGCTTATCTCTGGTTTAAAGCTTTAGATATAGTATGAGACTTTAATCTCATTTGGTAGCCCAGGCTGTTCTGTCAGACTGGGAATGCTAGATTCAAATTTAAACCAGAGCGTTAGGCTAAGCAGATCCTATTGGAAATGATACCTAAATATCCGACAAATACACTAAGCCCCTTAAGAACTACCTTCTCTAACTTTCAAAGGTGCTTCTAACAGGACTTCACAAGGACAATCCTTGAGGTGGATTAGGTTGTTTGCCTGATCCTCTGTGCATCCTCTCAATAGAATAAAACTTCTTGAAATTGCAGCAAAGGTAATCAAAGTTCATCAGTCCTGCATATATGTATATATGAAACTAGGCTTGAGCTAGGAGTAATTACATACTACTAATCCTGGGAAGTAGACATGGCAGTTTGTGGTTCCTGATGTAGGACAATGATTTGCTTTTGACTGAAACTGCCCTCTTCTATCTGCACAGAAAATGCTTTACTGACTGTAGAGAGTAGTGGCAGTTACCGTTTGACTATATACTTACAAGATTCCTGTAGGCAACTATCTCAAACAGCAGATATTCAATCAAATGTTGGTATGTTTTGTGGGGAAAAAATAGACAAAAGCATTGGAACAAAATGTACTCATTCCTAGTTCCGAAAGCTTTCTCACACTTCTACCTCTTCCTGCTGTCTAGTGAAAAAGCAGGATTCTTTGTCAAAGGTGGCTACAAAAGGAAGCTGACTTTCCTGAAAGCCTTGATGTACAAAGGACAAATAGAAGTCTGTCTAGAAATGACTTCCATGGAAATTCTCCAGGGTTGTTCTTGTATGGTGTTATTTTGACAGTATACACGAGAAAAACAGCACTAAGAATACTTCTGTTCCTATATCAATAATGTTTTTTTTTGTTGTTTAAAAAAAAAATCTGGGGACTTCTGTATGTTACAGGTATTACGGATGATGGTTGGTGTAAACATTTCAGATGAGCAGCTGGGCAGCATTGCTGACAGGACAATCCAGGAAGCTGATCAGGATGGGGATAGTGCCATCTCCTTTGCAGAGTTTGTAAAGGTTCGTAAACTACATTTTTAACGACGAAATGAAACTGCTCAGTAACGGGCAAGTCATTCAGACTTAAATGCAAATGGAAACAGAGAGGAAGTCGTTCAAATAGGCCTGCCTGCCCGCATTTGGGTAAAGCAAGCCTTCTGCTAGCTCTTTTTCTTCCCTTCTTTATCAGGACTTTTTTTTTATACTGTCAGGATACTAATAATTAGTCTATATGTTTCTTCATACTCTCACATAAGCTACAGCCCTGAATATACTGCGGAATTTTCACTTTTTTCTTTCGCAACCACTTCTTTGTATACAAGTAGCCTGACTAGTACAGTTAGAATAGAGTAGTTGTTCTGCTATAATTGTGCTGATCAGTTTTCACTTGTAGATTTTATCCATCAGCAACACAACTAATATCGGTATTCAAGTTCCTAGCTCTAGTCCTTTGAATTACATCTTTTTTTAGTCAGAAATAGGGAATAGTAAGGAGCCATGATATAGTCAGTGGAGAAAGTTGTCCTATAGCAGAACAATTTCAACTACCTAATGGGATGGTATTGACAAGAGGAACCAGACTCATCTTGGAGGTGGACAAAGACAGGACAAGAGGCAACAGAAACAAGTTGCAACATGGGAAATTCTGGTTAGCTGTAAGGAAAACTTTTTACCAAGACGATGATCATAGGTGCTGAAGATGTAGAACCTCCTTCCTTGGAGATATTTAAAACTTAACTGGACAAGACCCTGATCTAGCTGGCCCTGCTTTAAGCAGGAGTTGAGGGAGTTGAACTAAAAGACCTCCGGAGGTCTCTTCAGACTTAAATTACTCTGATCTTGGAACACTGAAGTCTACTGCGTGAAACAGCCCGCAGCAGACAAATGTCTTTCTACCTCAGTGTTAATAGCAATTCAGTGAATGAAGTCACTACCCCAGTTTTACAATGATTTGCGTTAGTAATGCTGTGGTTTTGATTTTAGCTCTTCAGCAACTGCTCATGCACCTTCCTCTACTCCATTCTCCCTTCTGTTTCCTGGCCATGCATTCCCACACAATCTAATTTTGGGAATCCAGGCCTTTCTGGGCTGTTGGCAGACTGAAACTGCATTAGTTACATTTTGGTTGGCAGCCTTCTTCCAGCTTTATGGCTGAAGTTTCTTTCCTTGGAAGGACCTTAGTCTAGAATGAAAAATAGCAGTCTCTAGATGAAAGACTGGCATGCCAAATTGAAGACATCCCATGTTCCTGCCCATTTCCTCTACACTAGAGTAAGAAACCTTGTAGGAGAGAATTATGTACAGTAACTTAAGTAGCTGTTTCTGAATTTTATTGCAGGTTTTGGAGAAGGTGGATGTAGAGCAGAAAATGAGCATTCGATTTCTTCACTGATGGATGGAGAACCTTTCTACCCCTACTATATAATGAATAGAACTTCACTTTCTCCTTAGCACCTTCCCCCAGAGCATTGCTACTGGTGCATATACAATACATCTCCAACCCCTCCCTGATTTGTTCTACTAATGTGAACATTCCCTGTGCATCAGGAACAAAGGGAAATGGCTGCCATGCAACTTGGAAAGGAGCTTTTTTTTTTTAATCTTTCCCTTCCATTTTTTTACCCTTTCTCCCTTGTCTCCTTCTGCACTACTGTTTCAGCAAAAATGTCTTTCCTTATGTACTGCTGTTTAATCTACAAACTGATTCTTCTGAGCTCTGAATCTGAGAATGCGAAAATGGGAACGTGCCACAGAAGCACCCTCTGAAACACTTTGGAGACAAGCATCTACTGAAATAATAGGTGCAGTGATAATGATTCACTTTTGCTTCCAGTAGCACCACCACACTACAGCTGCCTTTCCCCCCCCCCATTTGGCTCTTTACCTGCAGATTTGTTTCTTCCCTGCTTCCAAATCTGCCTTTTACTTGAGGACTTCAATTTCTATGGCTTCATTGTACAACTAGCACTGAATGCATGATGATAACCTACAGTACTTTAAAGTACTGTGAATAGATTTTATTCTTTGTGGGATGAATTTGCAGGGACAATAGGAGAATCTGTGGTGGAGACAGGCTGTGGTGTCCTCAAAAGGAACAGGAATTCTGCACTAAGTCACTTAAATTGTTCCAGTAGCAGATGCAGAAACTTGTTTCTTTCCTTTGAGTAGCTTAAAGAATTGACAGCCAGTGGACCATGAAGTGCCCTCTCCAGGTTGCTTTGCTCTAGGATCCCTCCACTCATCAAGGTGGTTTTGTCTCTGAAAAGTGTAAACTTGTTTACCAGTGTACATAATGCAAGAAAACCAGTCATGCCAAAATCTGGATTTGTAGTTCTGTCACTGCTCCCTGGTGATAGTGTCATGAAACGTAGTACTGATTTCGCCCCCCTCCCCCATCATAGTGGCCTGGATAATCAGTAATTATTTACATTTTCCAGTATGGAAGTCCTGGTCTGTTAGATTTGTGTTGAGGGTGGTAGCTGTATTTATGAAAGCTCTGGCATAAGAATATAATTTGGGGAAGTACATATTATCCCAAGTACTTCAGAATATATTTCTACACAAATCTCTTCACAAGTGTAAGATGATTAATACCATTACTATAATGCTGATAAATTCAAGAGATCAAAATTACTGAGGGTTCAATAGTAACATAACTTTCTGTGGCTAGATTGGCAAATGATCTCATCTAGTTCAGCTGGAGCATCCTGTAGTCTGGGAGGTCCTTCCAATAAAACCAAAAAACCCTGGGAGCTTCTTCATTGAAGAGTCAGTGTTATAACTGCTTCTCTATGTCACGTGTTAACATTTCTATAAATACTTACCAGTCTCAAACTACCCTCAAATGTGCATTTTCTTTTGTCTCAGTTCCCTTAATCATCACTTGTGTTAAAGAGTAACATGCAAGTCTCTGAAGGATTTTTGATTTGTTTTAAATTAAGGAACTGCAAAGTGAAATGTTGCACTTTATTGTTTTGCAGAGTGCAGCACAATTCCAGAAAGAAATGTAAATTAAAACCCTCTACTCTGTATGAAAAAGAAACATAATAGTTTTATGACCATGTCATGTAAAATAGGAATGTAACAATATTAACAGATTGAAAAGTAAAAAAGTGTTTGTATGCTTTGTGATCTGCTTAAAAGTAGGTGTTGCTCTCTTCTGGCTATATAGTTGTAACATACAGTTGTGCCTTACTGTCCCAGTGAGACTGGATATTGTATTTATCAATCCATAAATAAACCCTCCACTGTATTAAAAAAAACAACCAACAAACAAACCCAAAACTATTCCTGTATGGTAATTGACTGGTAATCCTTTAATGACTGGAAAAGTTAAATACCAGTAGAATGGTGCTAGCCGGCCTTCCAGATCAATTTTTTTATAACTGAGCTTGTTTTCAGAGTATTAATAATCCTTCATTTTGCTGGTAGAGTGGAAGAAACTAGTGCAAAACATGAGCTCCAGAAGAGGCCATGCACTCATAATACTGCACTATGGATCCCATAACAGCATGAGCTTTACGGCTCTCCACAGTTCCAAACTAGGCTTTTTTTGTCCCTCCCCATAGTGTTGTAGTGTTGTTCTAATTAAAGGGTATATAATACCAATGCTAGTTTGTGATGTCTGTCCTTATAAGCCCCCACCTTAGAAATCAGGTATTTATGCTAATGTGCTTTAAGGTGAACGCAAAAAGATGCACAGCAAAAAACCCACAACCAAAACAAAACCCAGCCAACCTTCCTGCAATAAACAAAACCCCCAACTATCAGAATCTATCTTTGCTGTTAGCTGTATAAATCCCACGGAAGCCACTGAGTATCTTAGTGTTCTGAAATCTACATATTTAACATGTAACTTAAAAGGTGGTAGACAGTAAGAGGAGTTTTACAGAGCTGAGAAATTTGTTAAATTTAAAATTGTTCAGAGCTAAGCTGTACAGATACAAGCAGATCTCCACAAAAGTAGTATTTTTAGCATACCTGATTGCTTGTAGAAATTAAATCTGAAGTCTTCTTGAGAACAAAGGTCAACTGTGAAGGTTAAAGTCTGGAAGAAGGATAAGATTATCAGCTCAAAGGCAGAACTACTTAGTATTTCATCTTTGTCTTTTGTCATCTTTTCATCTTAGTATTTCATCTTTGTCTTGAAAAAGCAGTATACGGGGTAGGTATTTAAGTACAGGTTAACCATTTTCCAGTGTACTGGCAAACAGGAAGTCAAGTCTGTTTTCAAATCTGCAGACTCAAGTTTGTTATATCGAGACTCTCTGGATGGTTGGCTCCATGCAGCCAATTAGTTTTCATTAATTGTTAGAGTATTTTGAAGACTACAGAAAGCGGAAATAGGTTTGATAGCTGGTCAATACTGAAAGGTGGCAAATGAGTTGACTTAAATAGCTGTAGGCCCATTAGCTTGGCATCAAGTCTGGGCAAAAGAAAAGAATCTGGATACAGGATTTGACTCATGAGGAGCAGAAGTAAAAATGTTTCCATAACTTTACAATGGAAAATTACTTGAAAGGTCTGAGTTCAGTTCTTTGAAACTGCAACTTTGGTTGTAAATAGTGTGTGGATAGAATATTTAAGTTGGCAGAAGCGTTTCATTTAAGCTGACAAATCTGCATTAAAACACTACATAGTAGAAAAGCGTGCATTAAATGGATTAAGATTTCAACTGAAATGGCATGTAGTAGTTGTCTGTGATGAATCACGGCTAAATGGGGGTGTTTCCAAATAGTGTGTGGATAGAATATTTAAGTTGGCAGAAGCGTTTCATTTAAGCTGACAAATCTGCATTAAAACACTACATAGTAGCAAAGCGTGCATTAAATGGATTAAGATTTCAACTGAAATGGCATGTAGTAGTTGTCTGTGATGAATCACGGCTAAATGGGGGTGTTTCCCGAGAGTTTTCTGAATGGGTAAGTACTCCTCTTCACACTATTCAATACACTCACCCGTCAGCTTGAAGTTGGA